GCCCCGCAACCTATGATGTACTATAGTAGTAAATGTTGAAAGATTCTAACATTTTTTCAGTTTTCTAGGTTAAAGAGCTCAACACCTTGCAAGTTTACTCATTTTTAGACTGTCATTTATTTTTAAAGACACAATTCTTTGCTGTTTTATGTCATTAGGAATTTATGAATATATTTGTCATTAAGTAAAAGAGAAGACTTATCCTGGAAATTTAGAAGCACAGATATATGTGCTGAATGGGTAACTTTAAGTACGTGTTGTATGCTATTTTTAGCTCACACACGTAGAAAGTATTGGCAGTTTGTTGAATTGTTGTGTTAAAATGATAGTATGCATAGAAACCATTTGAATTCTATTTTGTGGCATTAAGGGATTGGAAGAGTTTCCACTTATGAATTCTTATCCAGGCCTGAAGATTTTGTTTTGTGGTAATGGAAGATATGGCTATTTACTTGTAATTTACTTAAACTTGAAACGATGAGTTTATTTTCATAATAATTACTATGATTACACTAGATAAGCCATAGACTATACATCAGATTAAATAAAAATGGCTAGTTTTTATTTCCCACTCATGTGAAATTAGATTACCAATTAGTGGCAGAAGACTAAGGAATATTATTTTGATTCCTTAATAGTAGTCAATGGTATGAATACCTTTCTTAAAAATGAGGAAGTTTATTAGACATTATGATATAGCTACTTAACATTAAAGTACTGACTTTTAAACTCAATTAAAGTAACTAAATTAAAGCATGTTTGGTACTTTTGAATGTATCACATTATAATTTTTTCAAATATTTGGTCCTTAAAAAAAAATAAGTTGAAATTCAGGTAACTAGTATGATCATTAAATCAACTGAACAGGAAAACATTCTACAGGAACAGTAAATATAATTGCAGGTTTTGGCCCCAGGGTATTTACTAAGAATACCAAATACCCACTGCACCCAAACTCTGCTAATGCCAAAAAGATTTCAAAGTCTAAGCTCCAGAGGTCAAAGCAGGATTGAAAAAGACGTGTTTTTCCTCCACATCCCTGGTTTTTCTAAATGAGACATTGAACTGTCAGCTGTTCACACTGACAACTTCTCCTTCTGTTGAGGGAAGATGTTCTAGAATATGCTCTGGTGAGTTTCCTTAGTTTTTTTGGAAAACATAGATTACAATGAATATTGAAAAGCCCATATATTACTTGTTTGAGTGGGTCAGAGAAACTGCCACTAACATTCAAGTTGTAGAAGATGAAATATGTATGACCTAAGATTATTTTAATCAAAGTTAGGATCTGGGAAATAACGCTGTAAATTCCTTCCATTTCAGAATCATTTTATGAAGTGCTGTTCCCAACTCCACAGCAATGGCTTTCTATATATAGCCACCATGGAAGTAATTCAGAGTGAATGTCCTTTTATTCATACTCTTGTACTCTTGTACTAGTGGCTTATAAGAGAAGTGAGCTATTTTATAAATTAGCAATAACAGGTATATTATTGAGACATGACAGGAAAATTTATAATTTGAAATTTTCAGGATCAAATTATTTTATTGAAAGCAAAGTGGTTACCATTTCTCT